AATCTCACCTGGGTGAGAAATTTTCGTTTATTAAAAATTAATAAATGAGAATATTTTCTATCCTTGTGCGATCGGTACTCACCGGAGGGACCGCAGACATTTGGATACAATTAGCGTCTCTTAACAAAGACAATGACGTCGACTTTGCTAAGTATCAAGACAATTACTCTACATCTACACACACACTACACTAGGTACATGACTGTAAAAATTCACTGTACCATGCCAATGACCATTAGTTGTCGACACATTAAACTCAATAAAAAAAAATAATTAAGACGGAATATCAAATAAACGATGTAAAAAATAAAAAAAAAAATAGAAACAACTAATACGTAAATAGAGGTTCAATATTTGTGTAGAATAAGGTCTAAAAATAAAACATACTAATTTTTTACTTTGCTCTTTATAATATACTTTATTTTGTTTTCGGATTTGTATACCTAGTTATTACTTAATGATTTAGGATTTTGGCTTCAAGCCCAAAGCAAAATCTTTAATCGCATTCACATACATTGGATACAATAAATGGCAAATTGCCTAATGTGACACTGATCTGTCACAAGTAACCAACCGATTTTCTACGGTTATTTAAACAATCGACTGTTTTTAACCTCACTTTTACACTTTTTATATAATATTAAAGTGTTTTTAGCAAAGATTTTATGTAACTTATTACAGATTATAATTTAAAAAATGGATTTATCATCATCATCATCGTCGTCGTCGAGTTCATCTTCTGACGATTTGAAAGATATAATGCATATGTTACCAAATATAAGGTATGTAAGAGATCACAGTGATTTGTGTAATAAATATAATGAAATTGAATTTAAAGCAATGTATATATATATATATATATATATATATATATATTATATATCATTATTTATCTGAATGACTAGAAATACATTTTAATTATTTTTAGATATCAAGTAAGAAAGAAAACAGTGTTCCTTCGAGGTCCGATGCATATCTATGTTCATGGCATTAAATTCTTTAGTAATGTTTTCCCATGCAATGGCTTTTTGTTTGTTTGTCACACCATCCGTTTGTTTATTTTCTATAATAAATTTATATTTAATTGCTACATCTAAAATTATATCTCTCTCTAAATTAGAGAATTGGATTCCTTTATTTTCCATCTTAAGGACACACTACACACACACACCATCGAGTTAGAATCTATGGAGAGGGCATCACGTGACTAAAAACGACCTCACTTTGGCCATATTGTTAATATTGTTCTGACACTTTTGACAGATTGTATATGTTTGTTTACGTTTGTTGTTTTTCGAATATTTTTAGTTTTATAATACTTATTATAGAAACTGTAATAATATATTGTGATAGTGCATAATAATGGTTTCTTGTTCTCAACGTAGTTGCAGTAGCACCAGCAATGTTAATAAAAAATCTTCAGGAATATCGTTCCACAGGTTAGTATACATATATGTAAACAAAGTAATGGCCCGTACTTCAGAGAATAAATTAATAGTATTTGACTGTAATAATTTATCCTTATAAATAACATATCGTGTTATTAGTGTTTACCGCGGGATAAATAAATCATAGTTTATTAAAAATGAATTGCAATTTTTTAGATTATGATTAAATCTTTTGAATAACTAGTCATATTTTTCTAGTAGTTTTAATATTATTGAGTCTGGCCCTGATCCCACCGCCATATTGGTATTATCGTTAGTCACGCCTACTTACGCCGTTTTTAATACATACGTTAATATGCTTATAGCTTCTCCATAGATTCTAACTCGATGACACACACACACACACACACACACACACACAAAATTTCAAAAAAACAATGTTATCATAATAGTTCAATGTTCTAGGGGATTGGCATAACGTGACATAACCTTACAAAACTTGCTTTGTTGGCAATCTTTTTAACAGATCACACTTCGATTCGAATGAAATTATCGAAATAATCTGTACTCGTGCAATGTTGCCACGTATAAATTGTCGGTTTGTAAACCAATAGTTTTTTAGAATGGTGCAACTCGTTTGAAAAATAACCATTGATCGTTGATTTAAGGCGGCGGCTACATTGGATAAGAATTTGTACGAAAATGTATTTGTACGAATTCTTAGGAATCAGTTCTTACGAATTTAACAGGCGTGTGTGGTTACACCAGACGAGTTCATTTTATTACTAACTACAGTGTGAAGTAGGGAGTATATCTCAGAATTGTATGTTTTTGAAACAACACCATTCGTAAAATATTTGTTATTAAAAAAAAATAGAAGCAAATAGGTAGATAACTATTTTTATACAGAAATAAATAAGGAGAGTTTGGGAAGGTCATATGAAGAATTGAGAATAAACGATGAAAAATTTTTCAAATACACGAGAATGACACAATCTACATTCGACTATATATTAAAGAATATTCAGAGTTATATTTCAAAGTACCCGAATTTTTGAGAGTGCATATCCCCAAAGCATAAAATGATATTGACATTAAGCTAAGTAAAAATTAATTGTTTTAAAAACGTATATTTTTATTCACAAAGTATGCAAAATCATTTGCAGAAAATTGATTACATATACTGCTGCACTACCATCAGAACAATTATTTAAAAAATTTGAAGCTTTATAGAAGTTAGACTCCTTTGGTTTACGTGCAGGCGTCAGTTGCTGTGAATACTTTGTTGACGTATCACTATGTACCGGTGATGGAGTTGGGATCGAAATGAATTGACCAGAAGTTGATTGGTGATAACTTGCAGGTAAAGAAACGGCTTCATGTTCCTGCATAACCAACTGTAAAATTTTGGATCTAAGGCACAGCTTTCTATAAACTGGTAGGGTTTGAATATATGGGATAAGTCTTAGTAGAAAGTAAGTGTCATCATCCTGCTTATACCCGAAATGCTGCTTAAAATGTTGCAATGAGGAGAATGGATTATTAGCAGTTTCTCTTTTTCGATTTCCTTTAGTCGTGTCATTGGAGGAGTATGAAGTAATTAAAGTTTCGCGTTGTTGGCTCATTCCACTTTGATTTCTTAGTTGGTAATAATCGTTAACTATCATTGGACTTAATGTTACCTGATCTTCCGTCTCATTATACGTGAAAACTTCTTATAGAGTATTTTCAATGTTACCGCTTATTTTTCTGGGTGTAAACTGATCTTTTAAAGTTTTAGTAAAATATTTTTTAAAGTTTTTATTTTTTACCAACTGCGTGATTTTTTTAGGTATCTTGCAAGTGGCGCTTCTTTTAGATTGGCCTTTTCATTCCAAATGTCACATACAACTATTCGAAAAGTGGTTTATGAAACCTGTGAGGTAATATGGTATAGTTTTCATTAAAACCATTTTCCAACCAAATTAATGTTTTTGTCAATTGCTGAACAGTTTTATAGAAAATAAAAATTTCCTAATTGTGCAGGAGCCATTGACGGAATGCATATTATAATTAAATGACCTACGAAATTCGGATAATATATTTCAATTATAAAAAATATTTTTCGATTATGGTTCAAAGTTTGGTAGATGGTGGTATTTTCACTACGTCACCACTGTACTACCATCTTGAACAAAATACATTCTCTGTACCTGGACCTAAGACATTGCCAAATACAAATATTATTGTTCCACCAAAGTTTATATCAGAATCGCTAATGATGAGAAAGGATGCATCACGGTACGTTTAACAGTTTTGGCAAAAGGAAAAGTGAAACCTACTGTTCTTTATCCCTTTAAAAGAATACCAGTCAGTATTCATTTGAAAATGCCTCTGGGCTGGGGTATTGGCCATTTAGACTCCGGTGGATGACTGAAGAATGTTGTATACAACATCTCTTCTGTGGACAAACAGTTTCCAACGATATTTACAATTTCTTGTCATCCGTTAAAAGTATAGGCAATAAACATGGACAACGTCTTAATTTTATTTTAGAAAATTTACAAGCATAACAAAAAATTAATGAGAAAGTACAAGACATAAAAATTGAAAGAAAAATCATTAAGTGTCCTTTAACCCCTGTACCATTTTCTTTATGTGATGTAAATGGCACAATTTGCAAAACTCTGAAATATGTTATTCTAAAGGAATTGCATAATCACCAAAATACAGTTATTGATCCTCCAGTACCTGACATTACTATTTATGATGGATTTTACTTGGTACATACTTTAACAAGATTACCTCAAAAGTATGTAGCAATTTCTAAATACATTTTTAAATTTCTATTCTTTGAAAGAAAAGAAGTTCATATCATATTTGACAAATACCACCTATCAGCTATTAAAGACCAGGAACATCAGTTGAGAGGAGAAGAGAGCAATATTCAGTATGATGTCAAAAGAGAAAATAAGCGATCAACATATTTTGGCAAATTATTAGGAAATAGAAATCTTAAAGAAACGTTTGTGGAATTTCTCATTGAAGACTGATGCAAGCACGAATTTGCTGAGATATGCGAAGGAAAAATATTAAAATTTAATTATGGTAATTGTTAAGTGTATGAAGTTTTCAACAATCGAATGAAGAGATCTGTAGATTATAATTCATCTTATACACATAAAGAAGCAGATACAAAGATTGTGCACCATATTTGCCAGACGAACACGGACTATCGAGTGACAGTTCGTTGTACCGATTCTGACATACCTATAATAATGTTATCCAATATGTAATTTTTAAAGTCTAATATGGAAATAATTATAAATATGTCAACCAACAAAAAAAAAGGGAATATTTGAATATCAATGATATTTATCCAAATTATAGAGAACAAATGACACGAGCTCTAACAGTATATCATGTATTTACTGGCAATGATTATAACCCTGCATTTTATAGAAAAGGAAAGAAAATACCATTTGATATTTTGAAGAAAAACGAGAGATACCAGGTGACCTTCCTGGATCTTTTAAGAATCCTTTCATCTGAAATGAATATTCAAATCTAACATCCAAAGTTATTAACTAATTAATTTGTGAAGTATATTCCTTAAAAAGCAAAGACGTCAACATGGGGCGAGTTGAGCCATTCGAGAGAGCTTTTGGAAACAAAAATCACGATGAAATGGTAATAAAAGCTCAGTTAAGAGGTCTTGATGCATTAAGTATTGCAACAAATTAAAAAAAACAATTAATATATGCAGTGTGTGGTGTAATGAACATTTAAGATCACCAACAAATTTAAAACCTAAAAATTGTGGATGGACACTGATAGAAGAAAAATATTACCACCATTGATTTGATGTCCTTCAGTATCCTACATTTGATGATATATCTTCAAATATATTAGGTAATAATATTTTATACCTGTTATTTATATTTGAAATACAGTACTTGTAAAAAATCATAATCTATAATTATTTCAGATATGGAAAGTCAAAATGAAGAGAACGATGAGGACATTATTAGTTCAAGTGATGAAGAGTTAAATAACAGTTCTGATGAAGAATGACAAAAAAACTTTAATTTTTTTTAAACAGTTTTGTTTCAAAATTATCTTGGCTACATTTTTTAATTCATAACATTTTTTCCTACGATGTACAGATTTTTGGTAAATCGATTTTTTTGCGTTTTTACCCCCCTGCTAAGGGGGTTTTAGGGGTAAGCCCGAGGGTAAAAGTAATAAACTTTTTTGCATATTTTTTGGTATCCCAAAATTAATATTCTCAGCAAAATTTAGCTTGTTTGTATGTTTTTACGGGTTTAGTGGCATTTTCGTCTCTGATGACTGAAGTATTTACCGTTTATTTATCTGTCTTTAGTCATAAGCTGAAGCTTCTAACTTGAGCAACGTGCTTTTCCTTAAGTATTGGTGAACAAAAAGCTTTTAGTTATCAACTTTTGTCAGCTTTTTCGTCACAACATAATAAATTAAAAAAGAAAGCTTTTTACACTAGCTAGCATGGTATATTTGTTCTAAAAAAAGAAATACTATAGCTAATATATGTTTTATTAATGGTATTTTTTGTATAACGGGCATGTAAAATATAAAATGTAAGTCATTTTATTATCGTTAAGTTTTAATTCTATTAAAAATGCTACTTGTAGACATGTTTTCTAAGTTAGAAAAGTTAAAAGTAACTCAATTTAAAACTTTATAATGACAATATTCTCCTTAAAGGCACTATTTAACTAGTCTCTTGAGTTTTGTATTTCACGTTATGGTAAATATATTTGATTTATGGTTTTAAAATATTAAATATTTTAGAAATTTTGCGGCGTTCGCTTTTACAGTCATTCCAATTAGTTATTAATTTAATTAATAAATAATTTTTCTATATTTTAAGACATAAGAAGACTGTAACTATATAACTATCCATCAGAAAGTTGGGAGAAAATGTATAACAATAAAACTACAACTTACGTTAGGAGCAAATTGTTTAAGACTTCGTATAACTTAGTCTCTTAGGTTTAGATACGTCTTACCTTAAATAGAAATATGAAAAATGAGTTTTTTTTCTTCTTTTATTTCTTGTTGATTGGCTTTACAACTTGATGAGTCTTCAGCTCATCCACTATAACTCTCCATCTTCCATCTTACGCTTTCATTTTTCATTTTTGTATCTCAAACCTAGATAAATCAGCTTCAACATTATCTTTCATCTTTTTCTGGGACTGCCGACTAATCTTCTATTGTCTAGTGTCTCAAAAAAAACACTGCCTTCAGCACTCTGTCTTTATCTGATCTCACTACCTGAACTGCTTATCTTATCTGGTTAGCTTTTACCTATCTGACGATATTTTAAGTACCATACAAAGACACTTATATCGTAGATCGACAATCGTAAAAGAGTGTCGAAACTATTTTACGATTGTTTAATTAGATGTCGCTAGTGCGTCCGTATTTAAGCCATGTTATTGTTGCTTCTTAAAAGGCAGAAAATATTGATTTTTCACGTTGAGAACCCCTATGAATAACTCTTCTGACGAGACCTATTAGGTCGAAATACGTAACAAGAGATACATAGGATTTGTTTGCGTGAAATCAAATATTTGCTGCCTTTTCTCATTTTTATTCGGATTTACTCTGTGGGGGTACTAGAAGCACAATTCGCTTAGGATTTCTGCTTAGTTGTAAAAGACATGTCGTGGAATGCAAATTTTAGATTCCCCATGTCTCTTTTAACATATTTTATCAACGTCTGTTTGCCTTACAATTCTTAGAAGGCTCAGATTATAAAGCAGAAATCTGAATTGTGTTTCGAAACTATTTTACGATTAAAAAACTTGTTTATTAAAGTTCTTCCTTTATTAAATTTAATATTTTTTTAATAAAAGTTTGTTTTTAAAACTTGTGTGAATATACACAAAGCGGAGATTTTATGAAAAAAACTAACGCGGAACTTTAAGTTATGAATAAGATGATGAGTCAAATTTATAACTGCAGTAACTTAAAAGTCACTTTTTTTACTTAGTGCGTTTTGCTTGTAACCTGACAAAATTAAAGCCTTAATTAACAAATAAACTAAATCATTTTTAAGGTTTATACTACTTAAATGAGAAAGTTACTATATTTTAAAAAAATGTTTATTATTGTTAAGAAATAAAAACAGATTCTTTCTCTAGATTTGTGTACTTTATTATACAAAACCAGTTATAAACATTCTACAACACAATCCCAATCTACCCTCTGCTTTGGTCTTTTTCACTCAAATATTCTTAATCGAGAATTATTTTGCTTACGAAAAGAAATAGGGCAACTTACTTTTTATTTTACATGAAATATAAATAAAACGATTCGCAACTCCACCACTGTCCATCAAATATTACGTACGCTCTTTCGGTTACGGAATATAAAAACTTAGCACTTCCTTCCCTGAATAATAATTAAATAGAACATGATGCCGACGTCGAAGCGTTCCTACAGTTTTATCGATTACCATAAAAATGTCCTGGAAATTTTGTTTTATGGAGATGATACCCGAATTCTTGTCTCGGCTTATACAGTTTTTTGTTTGTTCAAAAATTTTATTGCTGGAGGCAATGCTGTGTAGTAAGTTCGTAAAAAATATACACAATAATAGAAAAATATAAAACTAATAACTAAAAGAAGATTGTAAACTGAAATAAAGTAAAAAAAACCATAGAGTTCATGCACAACAAAAAATTAACCGAGCCATTACAAAGAAACTTTAGGCTAGAGGAGGATATTACCGAGACGCAGTTCGGGTGCCGAAATGGAATGGGTACTCTAGAAGGACTATTTGCCATCAACATATTGATTCAACGATGTCGGGATGTAAATGTTGATCACTTGTGCTTCGTTGACTACGAAAAAGCTTTCAATAAAGTAAGACATGCAAAACTAATATCAATACTTAATACTTATGAACAAGCGCATTGACAGTAAAATCATAAATATAGTGCAAACATTATATTGGAACCAAAGTGCCATAGTTCAAATTGATGGGCAACACTTAGAAGAAATGAGGATCTATAGAGGAATTTGACAGGGATGTGTTTTATCGCCACTTTTGTTTAACTTATATTTTGAAGAAATTTTCCAAAACACGCTCAATAATATCGAAGCGAGAGTCACCGTTAACTGAACATTAATTAACAACTTGTTAAAACAAGGACATATGCTTGCGCTTATAAAAAACTTTCTGAATAAAAGGAAAATACAAGTAAGAGTAAATGGATACACTTCTACCACTAAAATACTCGACAACGGTGTTCCACAAGGTTCTATTTTAAGCCCAACCTTATTTTTAATTGCATTTAACGATGTAATGAGTAGAATTAAGCGTCCTATAAAAGCAAACTTATCCAACGCAAAATTAAACAAACGCTACTGATTTAGTTGTGTACATTAAATGCAAAAATATTACAACTAAGGCTTAAATACTACAGAACCTTCTATACAAAATCGAAGAATGGTCTACCAAAATAGGCTTTCTCTTTTCAACTAATAAGACACATTAGACAGTTTTCAGCAAACGCAACAATACTATTCCTTTTTCGTTAATATTTAACGGTCAAAATATATCTCATTTAGAGGAATCGAATTTTTTGGGCCTAACGTTTTATTACAAATTAAACTGGAGAACACACATTAGGACTTTACAACTAACTTGTCAAAATAAAATAAACTTGCTGAAAATTCTATCCAATAATATATGGGGAGCTGATTATAGTATTCTGCTTAACCTCTACATATCAATTATTCGCAGTAAACAGCAAATAAAACGTTCCTAAAAAACCTTAACACAATTCAAACAACAGCTCTAAGATTAGCCGTCGGTGCCTTCAAAACCAGTCCTGTAAGCAGCTTACAAGTAATATCAAAAGAACCCCCTGTACATCTAAGACGACATCTACTTAGTTTAAATTATGAAGCAAGAAAATCTTCCAATAAAAAGCACCCAATATATTCTGAGATTATTAACGCACCTACATCCAATTTGTATAGGAAACAAACAATATAAAGACAAACCCTTTAGGGAAAGAGTCAATCAAAAAGGATTCACTTGCTATGAATTCAAATTATCCATAACCACAAAATTAGACTTCCATCCATGGCTTACTCCCTTACCTATCACCGATTTCACTTTAACACAGTACCCAAAAAAATACCACAAATCCTAACCTTATCATTAATGCATTCAAAGAAATTATGGAGAAGTATCTAAATCCCCACATAATATACACAGATGCATCAAAAACTGAAAATGGTCATGCTGCAGTCTTCACAAATAAAATTACAAATATGCGATTAGAATTCCACAGCACTGCAGCATTTACTACGGGGAAACCACAGCGATATTAGAAGCTATCAAAAACTCCTCTTCAACGACTGAAAATAATATTTTAATCATCACAGATTCACTTAGCTCAATTCATGGAATTAATCAACTTTACCCTAGCCGTCATATTGCACAAAATATAAGAAATTAACTTAATGCACTACATCATATAAATAAAAAGGTTACATTTATCTGGATACCTTCACACATTGGCATTAAAGTCAACGAGGAAGTTGATCAATTGGCATTAAAATCCATCAAAAATAAAAATGTTCCAGAAATTACTAAATATCCCCACACCGACCATTAACGACAGTCCATGAATCATATAATAAATTTATCGCAAGCAACCTGGGATGCAACAGACTCTAAGTTGAAAACAATAAAGCCTCGAGTAGACGCCAGCCTACCACAACAAGGAAAAAAGAAGAGATCAAGTAATCGTAAATCGTCTTCCGGGCACAAAATACTAACACACCAACACCTTCTAAATAAAGAACCAGCTCCCATTTATACGTACTACGACTTATATCTACTCAACTCACCGTGAAGCATCTGGATAGTCGACTATCCGCAGTTCCAACCTCAGAGAACATGCCGAGGAATTAGTGGAAACCTAAGAAGTGCACTTACGACAAATATCTCTGACTTATTGCAGTTTCTAAAAGACATAACCATTTATAATAAACTAATAAACTTTAATTTATCAAACTGTACTACTGTGTATGCCCCCTTCTAATAACCCTTGGTGGTTGATGTGGGTTTTGTATGTTTAAATAAAAAAAACTTGTTAAAAGTTAAAATCATTAAAAGCAAATGTAACAAATATGTATTTGCTTTTTTACAAAGACACTATTTTTGCTTTTGTTTTTTACCTTTAAAAAGATTCGAAACTCCATATGTATCAAAATGCAATGAATTTCATTAGATTATACTTTTAACATCTTCCTGTAAAATTATTTACAGAAAATATAGTTTTAAAATATTTAACTTAAATATTTTCAATAAAAATAATTAATTCAAATATATTTATTTTAGAATTATTTTCAGTTCTGCGACGAAATTGTATAGGCAAAAATAAAAAGTTTTAATTACATAATAAAGTTCGCATATACCATGCACGGTTTTCTCTAATCAATTTTCCAAGAAAAACTTTTCATGTTGATGTTCATTTATTTTATATTTGTGTGGGGGATGTAATGCGTGCATTGAACCGACTAGCTGCAATAATGACGTAATAAACAAGATTATGTAAGGATCGGGTAGTTTGAATAACAGCTAATGGTGTTTGTAAGAAACAATAATCCTGACGTTTGTAATAAAACTTGTAATATAAAAACTAGTAAATATTAAGTTTTAAGTGTCCAAAAGAAATTACAATAAGATAAAATTAATAATATATTTTTTTTCATTAATACAGATGATGTGGATTAATTTACAATTAAATTAATTTACAAAAATAAGCATCTTTGAGATTCGAAATAAAAATTGATCTCTTGAGAGAGATCAGTCCAATGACTGGACCTCTGGTATGGAACAAACGTAACATTCCAATAATATGCTTTATATAAACTTTACATTAACAAACATCTTCTAATATATATATATATATATATATATATATATATATATATATATATATATATATATATATATATATATATATATATATATATATATATAAAAGTTTTATTTTGAGGATGCAGTCATTTAAGTAGGGCAGGATAAGTTAAACTCTTTGTTCTTAAATCAAGCTTTCGCAAAATTTATTTGCTTCATCAGGGTATGCTAAAATATGTTACGGTAAATACAATGAAATTAGAATTAAAAAACATTGTATAAAACTAATATAAAAACTTACAACATGAGGTTAAACCATTAAATTATTAAATTCACAAAACATTCTTAACTTATCTAAATTATTTTTTTATGTAAGTACAATATTGTACTTACATCGAACATATGATCGATGTTATAATAATACATAAGGCACCATCTGCAAGGAGCTATAGCTCCAATAAAACTTTACAGAAGATGACAATAGTTACATCATACTGTACTTATAATAATTGTCAAATATGATGACTGATTCATTAACTAGGATTTTAAAAAAATAGTACGACTTTCTTGTATATCTTAATAAATCAAATTTTTTTAATATCTAATATTAACCAATTTTTTTTGTGTTTTTTCAGGATAATGGGCGCGAGGCTTTGGATCTCACTGCGTCTCCACTGCGAGCTCCCGCGGCAGCTCCTAATTCAAGAACCTCACACCCTCCGCCAATGGTCATACAGGGAGATTTTAGAAAGGTATATTATAAAAAATACATATGTACTGTTTTAAATTTAAGTTCCTTAATCAATTAATGTTGCAGCCAAAGGATTTCTAATAATTAATTAATCAAAACAAAAAAACAATACAATTTATCTCATTAAAATTAATGACTATATTATTATAAACTTGGAGCATATATAAATTAGATGGTTACTAATGTTGTTTGTAAACTGCATTGAAAGATCTAGATGATTTCAATTTATTACTAATATAAGTTCTTATAGTGTCCCCACCGTCTAGAGTTGTAAACCGATAGCAACATTGTTTTGTTATTATTATTTGTTTTGTAACTGTTTGTGGTATGACGCAAAAATAAATGTTACATTTTGTTTTCTTAACATTTTGTTTATTTTTTTTAACTAACCCCATTTTTGAGTTTTATCTGAAAAGGATATGTTTTTGATGTTTTATAACTATTTCCCTAGTTACAACTAGTGGTTGTAATAGGTATAATTAGGCACCTCAAAGTAGCGCCCTATATTTAATTACTTAAGGTGTTTCCTGTTTCTTTTTGCTTTGTTTGTTTCAAGATATTATTGACCCTTTTATTTTATTTTTTGTAGTTGCCCCATTCCACCCCCATTATCTTTTACTTATCCACGACCCCAGCTCTTCTAACAAACCCTGAGTGCCGTTTTCACAAGTAGCTTGCAATCTCCACCCCCTTAGTTTCAGTCCCCAATTTTCTACCGCTTGTATTAATACCCCAGGTGGTAGGCAAAAAATATTTTTGTTACAACCCCACATCAGTTATCAGTATTAAAAATCATTAAATTACAGCAAATAACACTCTACATTCTACTAAAGAACTGCTATATATCTATTCAAAATAATTGAATTACGGAAAACTACACTCTGCAGTCTACTTCTTCTTCTTTGGGTGCCGCGTCCGTATTCAGACGTTGGCCGTCATCATGTTTACAATTTCCTGAAACCTTTCTCTGTCGGCTGCTGCGCAAAATAATTCTTCTACTGTGAAACCACACCATTGTCTAATATTACGCAGCCATGAAAGTTTCTTTCGACCAATCCATCTCTTTCCTTCCACTTTTCCTTGTATTATAAGGCGAAGTAAATGGTATTTGGGTCCTCTAATTATATGGCCGAAGTATTCTGTTTTTCTCGTCTTTATGATGTTTATGAGCAGACGTTCTGAGTTGATCATTTGAAGAACATCTTCATTGGAAGTGTGCGAAACCCACGATATCTTTAGGATTCGTCTATAGCACCACATTTCGAATGCTTCTAACTTGTTTAGCATTGTGGGTTTTAACGTCCATGTCTCACAACCATACAATAGGATCGACCACACATAACATTTTAGGACCTTCTTACGAATGTTCATTGACAGGTTTCTGTTGCATAAAACTGGTTTCCAGGTCATAAAATCCTTACGTGATATTTCGATCCTGGATATTATATCCTCATCAGAGTCACAATTTACATTTAACCAGCTGCCAAGGTATTTGAAATGATTTACCCTTTCTATCTCTTCTCCATTAAGAGAAAGCAGACCTTGATCTATATGGATCTTTCCAACTGCCATCCACTTTGTCTTTGAAATGTTGATTTTTAGGCCTCTCCGATAACTTGCTTCACTGACTAGATTTAGTAATGTTTGGAGATCTTGTAAACTTTCTGCAAGAATGGCTGTATCGTCAGCGTATCTAATATTGTTGATTACTTCTCCACCTAGTCTTACTCCCTCTTGTCTGTCATCCAAAGCCTTCCTAAAGATTTCTTCAGAGTACAGATTAAAAATAGTGGGTGACAAAACACAACCCTGCCGTACTCCACGTTTGATGGGTATTTTTTCAGTGGGACTGTCTCCAATTTGGATAGAGGCTACTTGAGTGTAATATAAGTATTTCAGCAGTCTTATATCATAGTGGTCTTATATCAAGTCCTGCTGCCCATAGGCAGTCGAAAAGTGTATTGTGTTGGACTCTGTCGAACGCCTTCTCGAAGTCGATGAAACAAACATAAACATTCTTTCGGAATTCACAACTTTTTTGTAATAGAACGCGCATACAGAATAGTGCCTCTCTAGTTCCTAGACCGTTTCTAAATCCAAATTGCTTATCACCCATCTTACTCTCGCATAAAAGGAATACTCGGTTTTGTATAATTCGTAAGAGTATCTTCAGTGTGTGACTTATCAAACTGATTAGTCTAAAATCGCTGCATTTGGTGGGCCTGCTTTTCTTTGGTAATGTTATAAACAGTGACTCTAACCAATCATCTGGTATCTATCTGGTGCAGTCTACTAAAGAACTATTTCCCAACAAAAACGATTATCTTACTTAAACTGTATCAGGTCGGTTGTAATAAAGAAGGGCTACATAAAAGCCGCATTTTAAGCGTTTTAAAGTATATGTTAATGTTAACAAACTTTATAAGCTCTATAAGCTTTAATAGATACATTTTTTAAAATACCTCTTAAAAATCTTTACAATTTCGATTAATATTGTCCGTACATTTCCGTATATTTCATCGAAGAAATAGAAAATTCCACACATTTTCAAGAGTTTTGTAACGTCTACATTGCTTGTTTATAATTACTTAAACTAAAAAAGTTTTTAACACTTTTGTTTTAAAAGTATTTCACAAATACAACTTTAAAGTTAGATCAACATACTCGGTATTTTCAGTAAATGAGCATATTCCAAATAGTTGTTTGGTGTAATTCTTACATATTACCTACATACAATCGGCGAGTTACACTGACGTTTAAAAGCTATTGCCGTATTTTTATTTCTTTATTTCGTGCAAGTTCCAGAAATAACAAATTTACATACATAAACGTGTTAAAGTAACAATTCCAAACATTAATGATAAAACTTTAGAAACGGAAATAGTTTGCCGACATGATTTGGAGAGCTCACAGCTCGTTAACGGTTTGTAACTGTTTTCGCTGGTGGTGCCGCCCTTTGTTCAATAATTAAATTGTAGTAATGGACGTCCGCAAATTTCTCGGCTCAAAACACTCTTCGCGAACTTCGATGCTACAAGGTATCTTAATGGATTGAAAAAGGAACTGTTTACGCGATAATGGAAAAAGCATCATTGTAAATTTGGGTTTTATAAATTTCTATACACTTTAAAATCCCTTTTTCGAGGGCTGGTTTGCTGCGAAATAATGATATTATAAAATATGTGCAATTCTTCAGGCACAAAACTCACACTAAAATGCGACCCTTTTAAACTTTTCTAATTATGTAATAAATAAATCCGACACTTAAAGTTAAGCTACTGTTTCGCCAATATTTAAGCCATACTATAAAATTCACTTATCCCGTATAGCTACGAAATTAAAGGATTGAACTCTAGATGGGATTTTCCGTATTATTATTGAGTTCTAGGTTACGCTGTAGTTTCTAAGAAAACATTTCTTACACATCTGGATGTTGAGAACAACAACGCATTCTTTTTTTTTTTATTTAAACAAATATACCCGCATCAACCACTAAGGGTTATTAGCAGGGGGACATACACAAATAGTAAGATACATGTTGTTACATAAAAAAAAATATTTTTTACAATCTCGTATATAGTTTAGTCATTTTAAGAAAACTTAATAAAGCCTGTAAATTTGACGTTAGTACACTTTTTAAATTGTCACTAAGGGCACACGCGATTCTTTCGTTCTGGTACACTGGACACTCAACAATTATATGTTTCACTGATAACTGAGTGTTGCACTTGTTACACATCGGAGCAGGCTCCTGGTTGAAGATATGCTTGTGGGTAAGGAAAGTATGTCCTATTCGGAGTCGGTTGATAATGACTTGGTCTTTTCTATTATTTGGTAAGATGAGTTTGGTTCCTATTTGACTTAGACATTCTTTAAGTTTGTTGGCAGTATGATCCCAAGTAGTTTGCCACGCTCTGTACATGTGGGCTTTGATATTAACTTTGTGATCAGTCCAAGGCATTTGATTTATGATAGGAATACTTTGGTCAGTGGTTGCATTGCTTGCCAGAGAGTCCACTTCCTCATTACCACTTATTCCCATATGGGAAGGTACCCAGATGAAGGAAATATCTTTTTGTTGACTCTGTAGATTAGATAACTCTTCTTTGATCTTGAGTAGTATGGCGTGAGTTGTATATAGCTGTTTTATTCCAAGTAATGCCCTCATTGAATTGGTGATGATAACAAATTTGCTTTCATTGATAGAACCACATTTTTTCATAGCCTGGTGAATTGCCATGAGTTCTCCGGTATATATACAACAATTTGTTGGGATTCGTATGGTAGACATGACGTTTTCGTAGATGTAGGCTGCAGCATGTCCTTCATCACATTTGGAAGGATCAGTGAATATTTGATGGGTTGTTGGGTATTTGGATATTATATTTTTATAAGCTTGCTGTATAAGGAAAGGATGTGTGGAATGTTTCGGGAGTTCTTTTAGAGACGTGTCGATTTTTGGAGATTTGATCATCCAAGGAGGAACATTTACATGAATAGGCATAGTAAAACTGAACTGTTCTAAATTAAGACCAATATGTTTTATACGTTCAGGAAATGGTAGTTTTTTTATTGGAATGTTTCTGTAAAGATCGGACGATATATTTTTTCTGCTAAGTATTGTTGAGTAGGTTACGTTGCTGTTGTTTGCTGAAATTCTGGCAACGTAATTTAGTGATAGGAGTTTTCTTCGTTGGCTTAAGGGCAGTTCATTAGCCAGAGCTTGTAAGCTACTTACTGGACTAGTTCTTGTTGCACCTAAAACTAGTCTCAAGCACATATTTTGAATGTAGTCAAGTTTTTTTAGAGATGTTTTGTTAGCAGTATCGTAGCATAAACAGCCGTAGTCTAGTTTACTTCGTATTAATGATCTATATAGCGTAAGTAAGGTTGTTGTATCTGCCCCCTAAGAGGTATTTGACAGCATTTTTAGTAGATTAATTCTGAATTGGCAAGAACGTTGCAGATTGGTGATGTGGGTTTCCCAGTTTAAGTTACGTT